AGATATTCACAACATTTTGAGAGATTTTGAAAATTGTTCCATTTACAAAAAATGATAACGTTTGAATATTTGTCTTTTTTTAAAGTAAGATTTTGAACTAGAATGAAATTGAGGTTTAATTTATATATTTAATAAATTTCAAGTATTTATACAAATGAAAGATCATAATAACGCATAAATAATAAGTAAAATCGGTAAAGAAAACCATCTAACGTAAAAAAATGATTAATTTCTAATTTGTCTTTTATTTCTAACACAGTCCAAACATTTACAATGGGTGTTATACACTGCAGATTGAGTATTGAAAGCTTTATTCTTTAACTGTTAGATATAATAATGATAAAAGTCGAGATTAAAAAAATCTAACATTGTCATCGGATGATTCACAACAAGCACAATTGTAATGAATCACAGAAATGACGTGTTAGGTAAGATATCAGACGATGACAAGGATTAAGAGGCAACTAAGAGGTTGTCATAACAGATCTTTTATTTCGACTTGAGAAATAAAAATTGGAAGAGGGAACAGAAAATTTTGGTTGTACGGTTATAACGGTTGTAATCTGTCTTTGAAGAATCACATTCGTGTGACCATTTTTTAACCATTTTCCAACTGTACGTTAAAATCATCTCGAATAATTATTCCCTATTTCTCGTTTTAGATTCATGTAGTTTACATTCAAATACGACTTTATTATCATTAAATCGTTCTAGTTCAAACGATAATTATCGTTATAGTGTGTTTGATTACAACAAAACTGTATAGCAGAGTTTCCTGTTTTCTCAATTTCGCATTACTTGCTTCTCAGTGATTTTCATCAGTAATAACATATCAGATATTGCTCAAAAACAACTGAGGAATACTTCATTGCTCGATTGTTAGACACGAAACGAATATGGAGGATCATCATTTAGTTGTCTATGCTGAATTTTCTTCCATATTTTGCCACTCTTTAGCTGCTTGCATTTTCTGAATTAGTTTCTAATCAATTTCTTTCTAGCAGATCCGCTGATAATTGCTCCATCTTGGTTTAACCCTATGTAATCTCAGTATGATCTTGGTTCAGCTCAAATGCTTCCTCATCTACAACAATAACAACAATTATCTCCACAACAAACATTCAACATGGTCTAGTTACATTTGTTTCAAACTTAAATGAAGGTGTAAGTAATTCATAATGATGGTGACTAAGAGTGAGAAAAATACTGCGTTGCATTGTTGTCATCATTTTCAAGTCTGATGTGTAGTATACTGTATGTTTCCGATCCTGTCTATATGTTTTTATTTCCACTCTTTGGTTTCATTTATATTTGCCCGAGACTTCTGTCTGTCTCTGTCTCTCATCTAAACTTTTCTACTCTCTTTTTTTTCTATTTATTATATTCTTCTATCTATATTTTTCACCACCTTACTTAGTGTGATTACCTCCCACATTCAAAACGTTTTTCATAACAGAAGGCCCTGTTGACCATGGTCAACGGTTCATAGAGAATACGACGAGGTATGTTGCCTGTTTTTCGAGGCTGTTAGCTCTCTCATTCCTCCTCATAGCGAGAATTTTTATCAAGTCAAATTCATTGATTTTGAAGCGCATAAACTGCAACGTTTTTGTTCACAAACCAAAGAAAGTAATAGAGACATGATGAGTTTCAATAATAACAGAGCTTCACATTCGATCAAAGGTCAAGAAAAGAGAAATACGTTTGTTATAATTTTTACCAAGTTTACCACTGTCCTGCGATACTGCTTAAGCGCTTATTTCTTTCCAATGAAACTTGACTCCGGCAGATACAAAACCGTGATTCATTTTCTCGTAGTTCTTGTATTCACATTTGTTTCCAAATGGTTTATTATCCAGTCTTGATTTGATATTCATCCTAAGGTTCACTCTCAAATAAATTGAACATGACTATATGTTGTTTTATTTTTCCGAGATATAATCGGAAACGAATATGAATAAGGTCTGACGTAGTTTCTAAAAGAAAAAAGGTGAAGTAGCTTTTCAATGAGTAAAAAAAGAAAGATTTTGCCTATTACTGGCAGGATGTTTTTTCATCGTATACGTTTCATGGACAATTGGAACAATAAATTTCAATGGGGCCGTAAGTCCATCGTAAAGGCTCAAGGTCGTGCTTATAATGTACAGAATATCTAAACGTTCGACAAACGAATACATACACGCGGACGGAGCACAAACATTATAATAAGATTGAAATGATGTTTCATTTAGAAATTCTTCGATCATTAGTTCATTGGCAACTGTTTCAATTGATGTATTCACTTGATATTAACTTGGTTTAGTGTAATTTAAAACAGTTACGTTTAACTGACTCATGTACAACTGAACCTGTTGTAGACATGTTTCACTATAAACACATTCTCTTGTAGCATATAACAATGAATCAAGTGGATAACAACCACCATAAAGATGCGGACATTCTTATCTCTTCCTTGTCGTTGGCTCGTATACAATTCACCGTTGCCGAGCTAATTCTTGAAGTTTTATATGACATACGCCAATTACAGTGCAATTAATTTCAATACAACATTCAATTACTGTAATTACAATAATGCAATTACAGTCAGTGAAATGCTGGAAAGCTCATGAATTCTTATATGCATTTTAGTCTACATGAAAACAGACAAAATTCAATAGGACACGAAAACACGCAAAAAAAACACCTAACAGATATGACACTTTCATCACTAAAAGTTTGACTAAGAAATACATCAAATTCCCATGTTTCTGGTGAGATTTGAACTCAGGATTTTTTCTTTCAAAATAATTCTTTGAGCAAAACATTAAATCAAATATTTCAAGCAATTTTCAAACAATTATCAACCACATAACATCTTTTCATTGCCAAACTTTGAATCCTTGTTTTTAGAACATAAATATACTTGTGTGTTTTTTATTAAACTTTGAGATACACGCTCAGATGAGACGTGTTGATGTTTTCTGTTATAACCTGAATGTATGAATGTGAGCGAACGCGCACAGAAAATAATTTTATGTACAAAAAGAAAAAACAAAAAATAAACTAGTAAATTACATGAAACAGAAAGACAAAGAAAATCGACTCTTTCGGTTTGTGTGAATATACGTGCGTATGTGTAGGAAGCAAGGAAAATAACCCAGTTTTAAACTAACTTACGATGAAGTTGAGAAAATTTTTGTTGACATCATTTATAAAAAGAGAAAGAAAAATGAGAAGAAAACCTCATGTACACTCTCGCGAATAGGGTACAGAGAAAAACATGATTTTTCTTGATCAAAATGAAATACACGAAGAAGAAAAACATGTTTCTTCGTTATACTTGTATCACGTAAAATTGTCTATCTGTTTTTTTCCTAATTAAGTGATGAAAGGGTGTTGGTTGTACGTGTCTGTTGTTGATGTTGTTGTAAAATTTGAGATGTACCACCAAGTAGATTAGTTCCAATACTCGTAACTGACGATGCTGCCGCACAAGATAATTTTCTTGGTAAAACGGTTTCGGGTGTTGGAATTTCATGACCCGTAACAGTTTCGGGCACTGATGTTTTTTTAATCGCATCCGGTTTACCAGCATTCATTTTACCTTGAGCTTTGGCCATATTATAATCGCCAGAATCAAAGTATTTTGGCTAAAAATGAGAAGGAATATCGATTGCATTAACAGAACGGTTGATGTAGAGAAAGCCTCGACAGAGTGACAAAAAAAATGTTAACGTACAGCTCCTCCTTTCGAAAGAAGTTTTTTTTGTAGCATATTTTGTTGTCGAGGAAGTGCACCACCATATTTATTACGCAGTTTTTGTTCTTCGGTTAATTCTGGTGTCAAATCATTATTAGTCTAAACAAAATAATGCATAAGTGATGGAATTGTCTGTAACAATGACTAGAGAAATTAACTTACGACAAATGCTGTGGAAGATTGTAAGGTTTCGTCGGTGGTTGACATAACGATGATAGTGAAACACAGAATGTGAAAATCACTTTAACGTACAAAAAGAGCTCTAAAATTGAAATAAAGATAAGTTTCATGAAAAGTTCGAAAACACATCATTCTGTTTGAACGTCAATTACAATTTCGAATGATTAATAAAAAGAGTTTATTGACATTATTTGATATCACATTCAAGAAAGATCATGTTTATCAGACACCACACATGTTCTCTTCCCACCAGCAGCTGATATCTTCTCTACCTATAAAACTTGAGGAGAGTAATCACAAAACATACGTCATAGAAGAGTTAATTTGTCGAAATATTTACATTTCTACTTTTTCTTTTCAAGTAAAAGTTTGAATAAGCAAGAAGTCATTCTTTCTTTTATTTCAGTTTAAAAAGAATTTCTTTGCTTTTCTTTGCTTTCACTCAAAAAATACGAACAAAAAAAAACCGCTTTCAAATTTTAGCTACGATCCAAACACTTGATTTTACTCTCATAATTTTCGAACTACAACTTCAGTTTTCTTGTGAGACAAATACAGATCAGTAGCATCTTGAATCATAAACTAATTAACCATCATATTTCCATCTGTGCAATGTTCGTGTGGTGCCTGGGGTACATTTAGAGCACAAGTGAGAATATGAGGGTTGAAATAAAGTGAATAAAACAAGAGCTGTCCGCACATTAAAAAAAATAAACACAAACGAGACATAAAATGAGAAGGTTCAAAGAGTCTTTCCTCACCGTAAGCGTAACAAGTAACTTAGTACTACCAAAGCGTCTCGAACCAGAACAACTCATACAAATGCAGCGCTAGGGATGTTAGTCCTGTTGGACGTTTGAAGCGCAATGCCTCCAATAAAAGTAAGGAGAGCCACTTTTTGTTGTAGAAAGTCATTTTTCAGGTGGTACAATGAGAGCTCCAACCCAAGAGGTGATACAAAATGCCCACAAACATTCAGGTAGGTGTAGACGCCCCTGTGTAGCGTAACGCAGGCTATATATATGATGATGCAATCAAACAATGTAAACAAAATGACGAAATATTACAACGACTGTCAATAAGGACAGTGACGTCAGTGAATAGTTACTAAACTAAATCGGTTTATGGTTAAAAATAACCGTTATAATATTATAAATTTCGCAGTTATCTTTTTGTTTCGAGGGCTTAATCAGTTCAAACGATTGTTGCTGTTTTTTGTTCTCCTTTTTGTGATTTGTTTTTGACATACACCACTAAGATCAAATCTAATCACTAGAAAGCGATCAAATCTCGTAGAATTCACAAAGTTACAGAGTTTCTCCGGTCAAAACTCTGTAAAGATACTCTATAAAGCTTTTTCTGTTAAGCATTACTGTCGAACTCTAACGATCGAAATGAATAAAGGCATTTAGCTTCTCTTAATGTTTCTTCCCATTGGACTGAGAAGCGATGACATGATAAGCTAGAGAAGAAACGCTGGAGGAGAGCGCTACCATCAACGTAATTTTGTGAGATTTTGCGCTGATTCTAACGGTTATCCTCCAGCATTTTTCTCTAGCTTATCTTAACCGGCTTGACCTCATATATCTTATCTCATTTGTCGCATTATTCAATTCTCGTTTCTCTCGATTTTTGGATTATATTTGTGTATTCCGTGGACCGAAGAATGGGAAAGAGTTTAGATGTGAGCAGTTTCTGGTCAGTTGCTGGTCAAGATAAGCCTTCATTAATTTGCTCTTTCATGACAATTTTGACATTGCAAAATAATTGCATAAAAAACTGTCCTCTATTTTATTATGATTTCCATTGTTGCTGTACCATTTCTCTCTCATTGACGGATTCTTGAATATCATTAGACCTGATTCTCTGGACGAAAGCGAAACAAGATAATATTTTGTGGTTTCGAAATTTTTGACTTTCCTCATCGAGAAAAGAAAGTGAAAACGAAGCGGGCGAAAAATATCTTTGATGCCATTTTATAGGGCTCGCAGAGTACTACAAATGGTGGTGTTAATACAGAGAGAAATTGACAAAACAAAATGGTGATTGAAAACAAAACTTTGGTACGGATGCGCATCGGTGCTCAGAAAAAAATTATTTGGCACCGATGTGCATTGATGCGAGATTTTACATTTTTTCTGCCATTGGTACGCATCCGTGCACAACCAGTGCCGAGAAAATATTTTTTTGTAGGGAGATCATTTTTAACCAGAGAAAAACAGTTTTGCACAGATAGATCTGACTCTTAACTATTGAATGATGCAAAAATCATGTTAAAATTCATTAGAGATAATTAGTTCTGATCAATTTCCAGTCGGTTGCTATTAATTGACCGGATTTACGTCATTTGGGGTCAGTGAATGGTTGCTGTTATGGTAATTCGGGTCAACACATTCAAAATGGCTGATATATACTAAATTAACGTTTTTTCAATGGTAAACTTCCAGCTTTGTGATTAAAAATTAGACCATCATATGCAGAATTGTGAATTCTATCCATCTATCTGATTTTCAGCGCAGTCGTACTTACCAATAATTAATTAATTGCAATTTAGAGAAAATCAAAAGACAGTCATTTTGTTATACATATGTGCGTCGGGGTAATTCCGGTCACTCTATCATTTTCAATGAGGTAATTTCGATTACTTCGGTCAAATTGCACGGTATAGACAAAAATCTGTTTCCATCGACTTCTACAAGCGGGTATTTGCTTTTACCGTTTTAATTGATCTTACAATCACCGTAGAAAGTTAACTAACAATATGATCAAGTAAAAGTTGAACTATTCATACACAGCATAGAATGTGTTCAAGAGGGCCTCGTTTTCTCCAAGTTTCACATCGTATGATAGATTAAAGTATTCTGTATAACTTTAATCTGTTGATTTTATCCAAGTCATAAAAGACTTGCCTGTGTCTGTGTGTTAAATGGAATTCTGTGGATTTTGTTATCATATACAAACAAATCAGAGCATGAAAAGCTTCTATATTTTTGAAAATGATTGAATTTTTAACAGCAGCTGAAATTTAGCTCATACACAAAAAGTTCATGTTCTATATTTTTATCATAACAACCGCACTATTGCGAATTATAACCTTTTTAAAAAAATCAAGAGAACAAGTATGAAAAAGATTTCTATTTATTTTCAGATATTCGACGGGTAGGGGCATTGTTACTTTCATTTCTTGCTTAATTCTAGATAAAAAGTAATTTTGATTATATGTATCAGTAACGAAAACTCGATCGTTAACGGCAAACCTGATCTAAAAAAGTAATATGGAGAAACAAACGACAAGTAAAACCTTAAATCCCGAGCGAAAAAAGCGGAACAACGTTGCAAACTATAAATAAAGACAAATACTTTAACATTTTGGCAGCTTAGAAAATCTGTCATTAGGTGCTTTCTCTCAGGCAAAAAGCTTGAAAAAGCAGATAAGAAATATCTAAGACATTGAAGAAATACTGAGTACTGAGAAAGAATAATCAGCCATAATTCCACTAAAAACCTGGGTACGGCCGCAATGCTGGATCAAATGCTTTCTTTTTCTTCCAGAATTAATGGCACAATTTTAATGCGTGGGTCTGCAGTCGTTTAAGTAGCACAATACGTTGTGAAAAGCCATAACTAACAAGTTTTTGTGTAAACTGTCAAAATGTTAAAGTATTTGTCTTTATTTATAGTTTGCAACGTTGTTCCGCTTTTTTCGCTCGGGATT